CTGAGGTTTGTTACAGCGCCCCACATATGGCACGTTGGGCTGACTGGGCAAACCTCTTGATGTACCTTTTGAACCTCCATGACAAGTGCTCACTCCAACCCATCTCAAAAGTTTTATCATGTACACATATGCAATGACAAAAACTGTAAAACTGGATGCTTACTCTATTGTGTACATGTATGTGATGTCTACACATTCGAACTACCATTTCTTTGTTTATCACAGACATGTTGGCACAAAGTAAAATCTGACTCTACCTTGTTTTGTGTCAGTGCTACTTGGAACAACCTCAAAATGCACCTTGCTTCACCCCCTCCATCAATTCTGTAATCAGTGGCCAACATGGTGCCCTCACTTCCAGTTCATGTACAACCTCACACCATATTCAGTCAGTTGCACTCACAGACAGAACTTCATTCTTCACATTTGTGCTGAATTAGAGCACTATTCCTGAAGTTAAAATTCCACTCCATTTCATGCTGCTAAAATCACTTTTAACTCCACAAATTCCAAGTTTTTATGAAATCATTTTCATCTCAAGTCTCTCAATATCACTTATATGCAGCAGTCTTGCATGTCAAAATCACACATGCAGATCCAAATCTTCCAAACTGCCCCATAAATCAAAAATGTCAAATCTCACATGATTTTAGCACAACAAAAATTCCATGGTCATTTGTGACCTCTCATTTCAAATGACCACAAGTTCTCTGCACATCTTTCCATGCAACTGACAATCTTCTGGAGGCGATTGTATCAATCCTTGGCAAAGTCACCATGCCCCAAATGCTTGGCTGGTATTAGTCCTGTGGATGGCTATAATAAATCAATTTATTCATTGGCATCTGAATCACCCTCTCTTTCAGCAATCCATTCTTCTGCTTCTCTCTGGTCCTCTTCTGCAACAAGCTGATCTGCCTCTCCTTCTAATTCAGCCTTCCTCTTGTGGATGAAGTCCATCTGTTTGTTGTGTGGAAGATTGCAGGAGAGGGCTTTCAATTCACTTGCTATCTTAGTGATTATTGCTTTGTTCCTCTTGTAGGCATGCTGTGTGCAGGTGAATCACTGGGCAAGCTTGGCTGTTGCATTGCAGCATTCACATGTCCCTTTCATGGTTGAGTACAGGTCAGGATGGGTGGCTATGAGGTGCTTGAGTTTGATCTTGAACCATGAATCCCAGATGGGCTCTGGCTGGAGATGAAGAAGTGCATCCCTCTCAGCCTTCTGTACTGCATCCTCTTCTTTCTTTTGCCTCTTCACTTCTGCTTTCTTGACCTTCTTCTCCTTGATGTGCTGTTTCTTCTCCTCAGGATGGAGATTGATATGGCTGCAACTTGCAAGGCTGCCACATTCCTCTTCTTTGGTGCAGGTGTGCTTGCTGCTGAAGAGAAGCTGGTGGCAGAATTTTTGGCATCTCTTTGGTTTGTGAGGGATGTGGATGGTTGTATTGCTTGGGGAAGGAGGGCTGAAGGAGGGGGTTGCTGGGGGCGAAAGATAGGAATAAGGGGCAGGTGGAATAGGAAGAAGAGGAGGTGCAGGAGCAGTGATAAGGCCTGCCTTGTATGCTGCCTTCCCTTTGGCAGCAGTGACAAGCACCCTCTTTTGATCACCCAGCTGTGACATGCCAATCTCCTTCAACATAGATGATGCTGCTGATGTTGAGGAAACCATTGCTTTGAAGGAAGGGCAGGTTTGTTTCTCGTTGCGTTCTGCTGCATGTAATGCAGAAGTCCAGGAGAGGAGAGGCTGGTGTGACATCAGTGAGCACCAATAAGCTTGTTGAGGAAGCTCTGAACACAATTAACATGACGTGGTGGATGGAGGTAATTGGATGCCTCTGCCGTTTCAACCGCTACACCTTTAGCCTGGAGAATTTCCTGGCTGGTGAGTACATCTACAACACCCTCGCTGCTGTACCTCAACTACA